TTTCAGATATTAGCGAGGAGAGCGAAGGTGGTACGACTGCGTCTCAAACATCAATGGCTCCTGCTACACACGATGCGGTGACCGCAAGCACTTCGGAATCCGATGAAGTGGAGAAGAACAAGGCTACGTCACAGGATAAAGGTAGACTTTGATATTGTAAAGATTTTAATAAAATTTCAGTTAAAATTTATTTTTGTAACTAATCAAACTGAAAAATTTTGAAAGGAAGAAACTTTTGCGTACTTCTTACAGTAGCTCTTGTGGGAACTGATTACAAGTACTTAATAGAAGTAGAAATGATTGTATAGAGAGAGCGTATAATATTGTCAATGAGTAATTCTCAACTTTCCGAATCGGATTATATTGATTTTTTTATTTTACTCATATTTTAAGTATTTTAGAGCTTAAGTTCGTACAAGATTTCTAAGACTAATATGAAAAACTGTTTATTTTATTGATCTTCCCAACCAATGTCAAACTGTCCATCTACAGAGACTGAGACAGATGAAATCAAGGAACTTCCTCCGACGATACCGGAGATCTCGGATATTGTTGACAGTGAAGAGACCGCAGAAATTCCGAGAAGGTTTGTTCAGTTTATGGCAATCCTGCATCTTGCAGCGAGAGATTGATTTGATTACGGAGCATTACGGTGTCACTAATTTGTACAATACAACTATTGTAAAGCTTGTTTGAACTGCTTGACAGACCTGACTGAAGATATTAATCCAAGGAACCCAATGTGAAAATTACTTTGTTAAGCATTTAGGCAAAATGCTAATTTACCCTACTATTTAGTTGTTGGTAACTCTCTGTAATCTGAGAAGCTTTAGATACATTATAGAGTGGTTTAAATTTGATTTTACTTCATAAGGCGACTCACCGACCCTCTTCGTCACTGTAGGATTACGGTTGGAACTTCGAAGAGGTTTTGAACCATATTTTACCTCAGAAAGGATACAAAACGATATAAAAATTCTCAGGCTAATTAGAGTTGCCTTTGAGCACGGCGTTTGCATCTCCTCATAATGTTTCCCCAAAAGTTATGCAAGGAAGGCAGAGGCAGCAATTTTCCGATGTTTCTAATAGATTTGGTTACGCTTTCACAATGCTTTACAATCTTGTACAATGTTGAGTACCAAAACCAGCGTTCATGAAAAACCAACTACACCGGTCCCTCGATTTTTTGTAACTATTTACTACGGCAGCTTTAGTGACGTCATATGCCGAAAGTTCCTACCTCTGGAGTAATGAATAGCGAAAATCAAGTTCGAAATTCAAAGAGATTCAAATTAAGTTGAAGCCAGCTCTTAAATTGGTACTCAAAGTTTCCTGGAAA